TCTGTAGATTTCTTAGATTAGGCCTGGATTTAATCCTTGTGCCCCTTAAAGGTTTGCCTTTGTTTTTGCTAGTCGTGGCTTGGTAAGCAAGGTTTTTCCCCTGCCCTGATTGACGATTAGTAAGTTGATCATTATGTTCTTGTGAAGTAAGCCAACCTGATCCCTAACTTATTGACTCAGAAATTGGTCACACTAAACTGAGCAGGACTTCCTTCTGAATGCACGCGCTGGAAAACAGCAGCCTAAATTGTGTACAACGCTGAGTTAATGTAAAATGAGCCCTGATTTCTTGTAACACTTTTCAAGCCATTTGTTTATATCAGCAAAACCATCTAAAAAACATCCCACATGAATGTCAGTGACAGGAAAGCATATTGTTTTCTGTAAAAAGATCCGAAGCATCAAAGGTTTGACTACAACAGGAAATGGAACACTTCTGAAGGCTGGCAAGTTTGAAATGGGAGAGGATGAGGTTAAATGTGCTGAGAATGCATTCCAAAATGAAGCGTCCTGGCCCTCGCCCCATGTTTTGCTTTCAAACACAATAGCACATGATTGTGAATAGGATATCTTGGCATTTTTCCCTTAGTGCTAAACTTCTGCTGGAAGTTAAACAGTAATTGGCAGAGAAGTGGCCCAAGGACAACCTCTTTACAGGTACATTCCTTGAGTAAGAATTTTTGCTGCTATGACTGCCTCCCCATGGATATGGGCAGGCTGGTTTTAATAATTTATCTTATTCAAATCATATTGGGTGGTTAACAATTTTAAAAACAGCAAATAAAAAACCTCCCTTTTTATGGCTCCATAATCCCTTAATTCTGGGTAAGAGTGACTGGATAAAGAACTGAGTGTTTACCAGCTGGATGTTCTTCCTGACACCACGGAGTTCATAGCAGATTTTTTTTTTCTTTGCACCCTAGGAAACTAGGGTTTCCTAGGGCGCAACTAGAATTAAACTCTAGTTGCCGCTAACTAGAATTAAACTCAACCTTCCTCGTGGGAGGCGAGCGTCTTCACCATAGGCCAGAGTTCCCCAATCTTTCTGGCTTTGTGGACTGGGGGAGAGGGGATGATTTTTTGTGAGCTGCAGGCATGCATGCATGCAGCTCCATTTGCGGGAGTAGCAGGCATGTGTGCCAGTCACACAAATGGAGCACGCGCAAATGGGGATGCATGGGCATGTGTGCTCGCCTAACGCTTCCATGGCCCAGTTTGTGGCACAGTTAATGGACCGCGACCCGGGGGTAAGGAATCCCTGCCACAGGCCACCATGCCACTCTTTAAAAACAGCAAGTAAATACATATAAAAAGCTTGGGAAAAACAAGAGCACACCAATACATATGCACAAATATATACCTGCACACATACTGACTAGTAGCCTGCGAGTCAAAATTAGCTCTGCATATATCAACATAGAATGGTTAATATAACCAAGCAGAGCTGGTTAAGGATCTTTTTAAAGGCCAGCAGGATCAGAGCTATCAACATACTGCTGTTGTTCTGCAGGCCAGGCATTGAGTTGCATGAATATAATCCATAAAATATGTAATATGGCAACTTTGTCTTCTTTTGTTCAGATTGGATATGTAGGGCATACTAATTGGGAATTCTAAATACTGCAATTCAAACACACCAAGAATTCAGATTGGGGAAATTAGATAATGAAGTCTTTTAAAAATTAAAATGGAAGAAATATGAAAGATCAAAACGGAATAGAGTCTCCCTTTGGCCCACAAATGAAATAAATCAAAGGTGTAAGTTATTAAGCAAGTTATTGTGAGAATTTTTTTTCCTAAAAAGAACCAGGTAAATGCAAATGAGTAATATTGCTAAAGAGGACGCAATGGGTCATTGGCTAAGACATTGAGCTTGTTGATCAGAAAGGTCGGCAGTTCGGCGGTTCGAATCCCTAGCGCCGCATAACAGAGTGAGCTCCCATTACTTGCCCCAGTTTCTGCCAACCTAGCAGTTCAAAAACATAAAAATGCAAGTAGAAAAATAGGGACCACCTTGCTGGGAAGGTAACAGCATTCCGTGTGCCTTTGGCATTTAGTCATGCCGGCAGAAATGGAGATGAGTACTGCCCCCTAGAATCGGGAACGACTAGCATGTATGTGCAAGGGGAACATTTACTTTTACCTTAATATTGCTAAGGCTGTAGTGAAGAGGGTTTTTAGTTACAGTATGTGCATGATCATATTAGCAGTAAATTTTCACTTACTTACCTGGAAGATATGAAAAAAAAATTCAGACTATCTGAAATAAATAGAGGCTATTTTTCAAACTAAGCAAATCAAGTCAACTGTAATAAAATTGAATGGAATCATTTCAATTTCTCCTAAATCCCTCTCTAGAGGATCCTCTGTCTTGTTCAAATCACATTTCTTCTAGCAAAACTTGTGCTGGCAAGATTCAAGCTACCCACAATAGCTTTGCACAGCAGAGTCAGCCTTCAGGCAACCTACAGTCAGCTGATTACTAGTCACAGACAATTTTGCTGATATAACCAAACTAGTCAGGAAAAAACAGACTTGTGTGTAAGGGCTCTGTTGCAATTTTAAGATTCCACAGTTTTGCTCCAGGAGATTCTTCAAAATAAATGTTCCTCTTTGTCGCTCGGGTAGGAGGGAGGTATGATTACACAAGAACTGGACAAAACATAGATTTACTTAGTCCACTTCCTTTAAAAAAACATGCACTCAAGGACAGCGAACCTTGAACATTGAGTTGCTCAGAGAAAACAAATGTTTTGATCTCGATTAGCCCCTCACGTTCACATAAAGAAAGACTGAATACAGTTAGGAATAGTAATCAAAGCAAATATGCTCCTAATTAGAAACCTATTATTAAGCTATTACATACACAGAATTGGGAGAATAATTGGGAGAATATCTTTTCTCTTATATGTACTTCAGTACTGAGATAACAAGGATATCCTGGAATAGATAACACAGGCATGGTACTAGTTGCTAATTTCTCTTGTCATGATTTGTGCTGTTTTTCTAGCTATTACTCATTCAGTATTTTTGAAACTGTCACGCACAAATCCTGGGATTAATCTAAGACAGGTAAAGGTAAAGGTTCCCCTCACACATATGTGCTAGTTGTTCCTGACTAGGGGGCAGTGCTCATCTCCATTTCAAAGCTGAAGAGCCAGCACTGTCCGAAGATGTCTCCATGGTCATGTGGCCAGCACGACTAAACGCCAAAGGTGCATGGAACGCTGTTACCTTCCCACCAAAGGTGGTCCCTATTTTTTCTACTTGCACTTTTTATGTGCTTTCGAACTGCTAGGTTGGCAGAAGCTGGGACAAATAACGGGAACTCACCCCATTGCGTGGCACTAAGGATTCAAACTGCCAAACCGCTGACCTTTCGATCAACAAACTCAGCGCCTTAGCCACTGAGCCACTGCGTCCTTTCATCTAAGACAAGATCATTACTATTTACTATTTCTTCTTATACATGACTATAACTGTTTCAGGAAAATCAGTAGGAATTTTCTGTTGTTATGCTTGTTACTGCTTGTACTATACTGCATTATCTCCTGTTCATTTCAATTATTTCAATAAACTCATAAGTTAAATCTTTTAAACAATTGTGCGTATGTGGTTGGAAAAAGGTAGAAAAATGATCAGATTAAAATCAGAAGTAACCTAGCACTGATTGAAAAATTGAACATATCTTATAAAAGTTATCACTTCAAGTGCAATAATAATCACTGATCAAGAATATTAACAAAATTTGAAGAACAGTGTTTAATATCATTTGAAATTAGAGGGATATCTTCAGAAAATCAGGTAGCAATATGGCTTTCAACTAGGATAAGAAGATACAGATTTTTACTTTCAGCAGGTTGGTAGAATGGTCCAGTCCAGGGGTATCAAACTCACATCGTCATGGTGCATCATGTGATGTATCAGGACTTTCCCCCCTTTTGCCAAACTGGGCGTGGGCCTGCCCAGTGCGTGACGCATCTGGCCTGCAAGCTGGGAGTTTGACAGGCCTATTCAAAGGGTGTCCACCTTGGCCACTTTAAGACTTGTGGACTTCAACTCCCAGAATTCCTCAGCTGATAATTATGGGAGTTGAAGTCTACAAGTCTTAAAGTGGCCAAGGTTGGGCAGCCCTAGGCAAGTCATTCTGTCATTCTCTCAGTTCAGGAGCATTGGAATGAAAAGTACATGCACAGAAAACAGTGCCAAGGAAGCCAACTTTTCCTCATGAAACAAAAGCAGGATAACACACCCACTCACACAAATAGCTTTTATATCAAATGAAAGCTGTTCTCTATACTTTAAAAGAATATTAAGAAGAGGATTTTGGATTTCAACTTGATGAGCCAGCTTGAAATTCTTTATAAAATAGTGATATAGCAACTGCGATAAGCAGGGATCCTCAAAGATTAATTACTGGGAAATCAGGTCAGTTTTGTGAGGTGTAGAAAGTGTTGGTCTCAGCTATCAAAAATACTGAGAACAGCACTTTTCTAATTGTAAAAAAAATACAGGCAATGATGCTCTTTTATTCTAAATCACTACACATTTAGAAGGGGGGGACTACACATATTAAACAGATCTATTACGTTTGTATATACTGTAGATGTACATAAAATAAGAACAATATAAATCATTTAGAAACCTTCCATGGAATAAGATAGTTGTCCTAGATATGGTTACATGATTCCTCAGCAGTAGGGTCATATCCAAAGATCAAAACAAATCTATTCAATTTCTATTCCAAGTTGAATTGAAACAGTAAACTTTAGTTAAATACTGAACACTTGCTCTGGAATCTCCCTTTAAATTTTTGTCAAGATACCAGAATCATCTCGTCATAATAGGCACAACAATCAATTCTTTATACTTTGGGGGGGAAAACAAATCTGGGGAGCTTTAAAGGTCTATAAGTTATTTGTGTTAGTTGGCTGAAGGCAAAATCAACTTTTAAAAGTTTAGTATGCAAGATATATGTGAAAAACAAAACAAGAAACAAATCATGAAAAACCCTTTTAATCTATACAGATTAAAGGCCAGGCTGGCAATATAAAATTGCCAATGGTGTGGACACACCATTTGGGAGAAATTTTTTTTTATTGTTTTGATCAACCCATTGCCTCACAGGTCACAAGACTGAACAATGTGTGATTTGATAATTTAGCTGACTTGATGCTAGACATGAGGAGTGAACTTCCCATGCAAAACTTGTCTGAGAAAATTGTCTGAGGTATTCAATTCATTCAAAAACACCCTTGTTTTATTCTTGTTGTTTCTTTAAAAAAAATGATCAAGTTGATATTTTTATTGAAATGAAGATTTTCTTTTTTTAAAAAAGGAGGGGGGACAATGCCTTTCTTGTTGTGATCATCAGATTGGACGTTTCTTTCACTTTGTGGCTTCATATTTTTCCAGAGCATAGTGCGAAAGCAAATAGATGGGGCACTTTAGAGGGCCACTAGCTGCTTTTCTGGTGTTTCTGTACAAATGCAAGATATTCTTGAACATCCTCAGGAGAACCAGCAACAAAAGGGACTCTCTGATGAATAGACTCTGGCTTTACATCCAGCACTGGCTCTGTGCCCGTGGTAGCTATTCCACCGGCCTGTTCAATGATAAAAGCAATGGGGTTGCATTCGTACAAGAGCCGCAGCTAGAATATAAGAGGGAAAACCCATTATTCTCACTTTAATCTCTTTTGTTGAAACTATTTAAGAAGCAGTAGAAGAATTTATATCTAATCACAACAGTTTTGCAAATTATAAACACTCGTACATATATCATCTGACAGCTTTGAAATCCTTGCATTGCTGTTTTTTTTTTTAAACCGCAACACTAATAAATGCAGTGCAGTCCAAATTAATTTTTCCAATTCATTTCAATAGGAACACAAATTGCATTTTACCCAGCAAAGAGCAAGCATGATCAGGAAGAACAATAGGTTTTTAACAGTTGTACATGCAGAAAGTCCAGATTCAACCTTACCAACCCTGGTAATAAATTCTACCTAAGATTTTGAAGAGTCCTGCTACCCTCCAGGCAGAAAAATACTGAGGTAGGTGAACTTACTGTAGAGTTGTAAGCCACGCTTCATTTGAAGTTACAATGTGGTCTTTTGTTTTTGGTTTAGCATGACATGTCAATCGTGCATTACTGCTTAGCATTACAGGGGAACATGGCCACATGAACTGTAATATTTTCATCTATCCATTTCCAATCAATGTAGAAAGAATTTGGGAAGCTGAATTTCAAATCACCCTAAACCAAAATGTACTGTTTTTAAAAAGCATGTTTGAATCCAGCTATGTCTTGGTTTATTGAAAAGTAATTTATGATTTCCAACAACAAGATTCCACTCAATGTGCTTCGACAACAAACTACGGTATATTTAATAAATTATGACTTAGCATATTAAGATTCTCCCTGCCTGTTCCTTGTTCCATTAGATTGTTTTCTGGATAGAATACCATCTAATACAGGGATGTCAAACTGGATTTCTTTGAGAGCCAGATCAGCATTGTAGTTGTCCTCCATGGGCCAGCTGGGGGGTGGGAAGAAGCACGGGGGGAAGGGGGACTCTGCCAGCCAAAATGGGGCAGGGGGCTACGTGCAACCCCCTTGTGCCCTGTTTTCGGCCTGGACAGCCTGCTGCAGCACTATACTGTCACAACTGAAGCGCACAGCGGATGGGGGGGAGCATTTTCAGGCTGGATGGTCTCCTGCAGCACTCTGCTGGCCAAAAGGAGGCACTGGGGGCCGCATGCGCCCCCCGCACCCCATTTTCTTTGCCAGAGTGCTGCAGGAAGTTGTCCAGGCCAGAAATGGGGCGCAGGGGGACACACACGGCCCCTGCACCTCGTTTTTGCTAGCAGAAGCACTGTGGGCCAGTCCTTTGCTATTTCCAGGCCAGCCCACAGGCCAGGTCTAAGCACCCCACAGGCTGGATTTGGCCCGTGGGTCTTGAGTTTGAACCCCTGATCTAATATGTTCCTAAAATATTTATGTCTCTATTTAAGACTTATATTTCTTAAACCTCCCTAGTTTGTCAGAATTCTGAAAAGCTTTATGTCTTCTCAAATGGGAGCAAGGGAAAGAAAGCATTGTCCCATTATTTGGGATACTTTCTGAAGCATGAACAACAAACAACAAACATTGGTTTGGAAAATGATATACATAGTACAGTGTGTATTTCACAGCACATTGTTCTCACAGGTAGACTATTGTCTGCTAGTTCAATCATTGTGTACTTTTTTAACTAGTTTTCAAAATGATCTGTAAACTTACACAACACTAATTTATAGTTAACAATGTTCCAGGACTAACTAAGACACCTTAGTAATGAACATGTTAGAAAACCATTTATTTTTTTCTGCTGTTTAAAATCAACCTGCCCTCTCTCCAGAGAATTTCACATTATTATCATCTCCTAACTAAAAATGAGAAATCCTGAATTCATGAGGACCTTGTCAAGAATTAGTAACTTGCAAAAGCAGAATCAAAGGCGCACTGAAGCCACTAGCCAAATGCCATTATTTAAACAATGAAGTCATATAATTTTCATCATAGTCTCGGCTGGCGGTGCTATGATTAATTTTCTAATAACTGTGCAATCCTAAACTCATTTCCTCACATATATAGCATATTGTAATACTTAGGGGGGTTTCTTATATAATAAATGTGGGAATTGGGCAAAATATAAATTTAATAAATAATAATTAATGTGCAAGTATTTCTTATAGACATATTCCTAATTTTTACTGCAAAAGACTTCAACTCATTTATTGGATTCCTTGTGATTCCTTGCATCAGTTGGGCTGTTCTCTAATTTTAAATCCTGATTTTTCCAAGGAACAACACCTTTTTCATTAAAAATGAACTTGCTTATAATAAGTCAATTTAAAGTTAAAACATACCTTTCCTTTGGGACTTTTCTGATTAGCTGGATATAAAAATATCCCACCATACACCAGGGTGCGGTGAATATCAGCCACCATGGAGCCTACATATCTGGCTCCATAAGGAGATTTACCTTCCTGTAAAGCAGAAATATAGATTATATCAGAGTGGAATTGTTCGTACTCATTATGTAGTGCAGACCTGAGCCTAATCCGAGGCACAATTCAGAGGGAAGAAAAATAATGAAATACCTAGTCTGCAATTTCTAACAATTATGGATCCATGGAATTCTGGCCATAGAAATAAACTCCATATCAATCAATTTTTTGGTTGGCAGAAATCCAAATGTGCCAGAATATCACACCCTAACCTCTCTGACGCAGTGCAATATTATATCCCTGGCAAAACAGACTATAATATTAAATGTTTTCAAGCATTGAGAAAGCATTAAATTATTGCATGTATGGAGCTTGCAGATTTATTTAAGCTAGAATGAGACAGAGAGTGGACAAGAGAACAAATAGAGAAATGCCAGCCTATTGCCTTTCTAAATTTCCACTGCAACCTCCCGTTCTCATTTTGTTATCTCCCAAGACCAAGACACTTTCACTGTTCCAAGTGAACAACTCATAGATTTCCCTTTCAGATGACAAAAGAAACTGATTGATGGTTTGGAATGATTCATTTTTCCTTTCTGGAAATAGCTAATGGTACTTCCGCTTGGGCACTTGGAAAGATAGAATTCTACCATTTGATATTGCCCAAGTGCTCTCAAATAAAAGTCACAGTTTATGGAACTCTGAGTAAGCCTGTTGGTTTCATTCCACTCCGCTCATTTTTAAAGGGTAACTTCTCATCATGCAGGTATTTCAGAGTGTTTATATTAATTTTCATTTATGCTTTGTGGTCATGCACCTGTATTCAAGAAAGTTCCCACAACATCACTCAAAACAGATGATACTACAATGAGCAGATTAACAGAGATATATTTCATTTCCTTTTCCATCTTCACATACATAACATACCCAAACAAATTTTAAAGTCCATTCCATGCCTCAAAGAAGCAACATAGCAACAATCAATCTCATATAACACAATACAGGGTATCCTCAATTTACAACAATTCCTTTAGTGACCTTTCAAAGTTACAATGGCACTGAAAAAAGTGACTTATGACCGTTTTTCACACTTAAAACCGTTTCAGCATCCCTGTACAAAATTCAGATGCTTGGCAACTGACTCATATTTATGACGATTGCAGTGTCCTGAGATCATGTGATTTACCTTTTGCAACTTTCTGACAAGCAAAGTCAATGAGGAAGCCAGATTCACTTAATAACTGTGTCATTAACTTAATAACTGGAGCGACTCACTTAACAACTGTGGCAAGAAAGGTCGTAAAATGGGGCAAAACTAATTTAACAAATGTTTCATTTAGCAACAGAAATTTTGGGCTCAATTGTGGTCATAAGTCGAGGATGATCTGTATTAGCAACACTCAAATCTCATATAAAACAATATCATTCAAGCTACCTGTTGAAAATGGCCTTAGATGTTTGGGATGGAAATTAGGATCTACTGGGGAAAAAAACTCAATTCCTTCTATAATATCAGTAAAAGTTCATTTTTATGGCTTGCAGTTTTTTTCAGCAACTGGAATAAAAGGGATATCGTATTTTTTTCTTCAAAGGGATGCTTTGAAAATCAATTTGTCGATTTTCAAGTTATTCCTTGATTCAATTGTATTTCTTTAAAACAACTTGATAGCTTTGATTTCAGATCAGTGTTTAAGCTTAAGTGTCTTTTTCCTTGAAACAATTTCACACAGGAAGGATGCAGTAAGCAAACTTTCAAATGCACGAACCATCAAATATCTAGGGCTAGCTCAGGAATTCTGGGATTTGAAGTCCACAGGTTGTAAAGTTGTCATAATTGCCCGAGTCTGATCTAGGGGAAGATTTCAGTTCTCCCTTCTTAAGAACTTAATAGCAATGTGTACCTGATCATTTCAGTTGACAGTGATGTAATAAGTACAGTGAAGTCAAAAATTATAGAGTAAATAAGATTGTAATCTCATTTCCTACAATCTTTTACAATAGTATTTATAACACAGCGATGAGAAAAGCTATTTACATGCTTTTTATTCAATGCACAGTGAGTTTTGTGGAGAGATAACACTGCAATTCTACTGGTTAATCCCCTACAGAGCAAGTGTAGTGGTTTTAGCGGTTTTCTACATATCTAGAAGATTTCAAGCCTTAGGAACTCATACTATGCCCATTGTTTTCTATCCTAGATAGCTAATCACCTGATCAGAGAAGAAAAATACAGCATATTCTTACACAAAATCAGCCTTAGAATAGAATAGAATAGAATAGAATAGAATAGAATAGAATAGAATAGAATAGAATAGAATAGAATGGAATGGAATGGAATGGAATGGAATGGAATGGAATGGAATGGAATAGATAGATAGAATAGAATAGAATAGAATAGAATAGAATAGAATAATAGAATAGAATTAGAATAGAATAGAATAGAATAGAATAGAATAGAATAGAATAGAATAACAGAGTTGGAAGGGACTTTGGAGGTCTTCTATTCCAACCCCCTGCCCAGGCAGGAAATCCTACACCACTTCAGACAAATGGTTATCCAACATCATCTTAAAAACTTCCAGTGTTGGAGCATTCACAACTTCTGGAGGCAAGTCGTTCCACTGATTAATTGTTCTAACTGTCAGGAAATTTCTCCTTAGTTCTAAGTTGCTTCTCTCCTTGATTAGTTTCCACCCATTGCTTCTTGTCCTGCCCTCAGGTGCTTTGGAGAATAGTTTGACTACCTCTTCTTTGTGGCAGCCCCTGAGATATTGGAACACTGCTATTATATCTCCCCTAGTCCTTCTTTTCATTAAATTAGACATACCCAGTTCCTGCAACCATTCTTCATATGTTTTAGCCTCCAGTCCCCTAATCATCTTTGTTGATCTTCTCTGCACCCTTTCTAGAGTCTCAACATCTTTTTTACATCGTGGTGACCAAAACGGACCTTCTCTGACCTGATCCTCTCTTCATTCCACACCTCAAAAATGTTCAGCAATGGCCATGCTGACTGAAATTTTAGGGTAGTCATTCTATAACAACGGGTGCAAAAGCTAAGAAAGAATGAACTAAGGAGGTCTGATGCCAGCCATGGACAGATCATGTAAGTACCTATCCAATAAATCCAATGAAATAAACCACAACTAACTGCAATATGGTGTTTAATCATCACTATGATTAGGATCACAGCCACCTTTTCTGTGACTGTCTAGATTTACAGATTTACCTCTTCAATTTTGTAAAAAAAAATTGAAATAATTGTACAGTTGTGTAAAAAAAAGTAAGCAAACCAGATGACTCAGTCTAAATTGGATTCGCTGTTGAAAAGGCACAATAAGGTTAAATTCCTCTCAGTTTCTGTTTCCCCTTTTTCCTGGTTTAGTCGAACATATGTGTTTGTAAAAATATGAAATAATGCCATCTTGAACTACAGTGAGTTGAATAAAGTCACACCTGCTGGCTTCATGGAATTCCTGCAATGAACACACTAAATGGTGATTATGAAACAGGTATAAACAAAGGTAAAGTCACCCAAATCCAGATCCTATATAATATAGTGAAGTGATTGCCTGGTTTTTGTTTCTAATTCTTTTGTGATAAATTTGACAAACAGTATCATTGCAAAATTCAAGTTTATAGGTCAAGTTCTGAATCAGACATATATGCCTTGGCTGCTCGGCAACTAAAGCAACAGGAAAAAATACATTTTTTTCTGAAGGCTTTTTGTTTGGCTGAAAATTTAATCATGAGTTACTGGATTTGGAATAGGAAATATTCATATGTAGGGTAGACAGGTTCATATGTAGGGAAAATAAATCCATTTACATAATACCATCTTAGTGTTCTTCCTGTAACGCAGGTTAGAACAACCTCATGTCCCAGGGCACATGCATTCCTTAAACTCTTTTTTTTTTTAGTGGCTTTAGTAGGCTTTTCTAATTACCTGGCAGAAGTATTTTCTGATATTTTGAAATGGGAAATAGCTACCTATTATGTAAGTCATAAAATGAGATTAAATTCATTAACAATTGGTCTATTAAACTAATAGGGGAAAGGGCAGACATCTGGTTGATAGATCCAGTTTGCATCTACTGTAACTCTCCTCCCTAAATAGTAATTGTAGCCTCAACTGAGTTTTAGAGCTTGTGAGAGAAAGAGAGCAAGATTGCCTCTGTCTTCTCAGTTTTAAATTAATCAAAGTTATTGGTTACACCTGCTTTTGCTACAGTTTTCTGGATTCCAGATACAGCACAGGAAGCTCTGCTTGTTTAACTTAAAAGCAGGAACTTCTGATCTCTTCCTCTCTCACATGAAAAAGGAGGAGACCTGCAAGCCCAAGTTGTTTAATGTGTGTGAGAAGATTGCACCTGCCTGACAATTAGGAGCAACAGTGAGTGTGAAAATTATGGGTGTTATTATCCTGAGTGCCTGAAAAGTTGCTTGAAAAATTCTGCTTGAAAGGGTACAAGAGGTGAGCAGGAACAGTATGAAGGTGGAGGGTATGGCTTTTGGCCAAGTAGGGGATGTTAAAAAGCAGATTTCTGTTTTCAGCATCTGATTAAGAAATGCTGATCCCTGAGAAAGGACATTAATATACGATTGATTTAGAGAGAGTATATGCCTGCATTATGGAATGTTTGTGCAAGAATTGAAGGTAAAGTATATTGAAGTACAGGTAGTCCTCATCTTATGACCACAATTCAGCCCGAAATTTCTGTTGCTAAGTGAGACATTTGTTAAGTTACCCCATTCACCCCATTTTATGACCTTTCTTGCAGCAGTTGTTAAGTTAGGAACATGGTTGTTAAGTGAATCTGGCTTCCCCATTGACACTGTTTGTTTCCAATCAGAAGATTGGAAAATGTGATCACATGATCCCAGGACACTGCAACTCTCATAAATATGAGTCAGTTGCCAGCATCTGAATTTTGATCACATGACCATGGGGATGCTGCAACAGCTGTATGTGTGAAATATGGTCGTAAGCAGTAGTGGGTTGCCCCCGATTCAGACCGGTTCTATAGAACCGGTCGTGAAACCGGTGGGAGGCTCTGACCACCGACCCTGACATCCTCAGGAAGCTTCTGCAAGCAAAGCAAGCCCACGCATGCGGCCCTGTTGCGAACCGGTAGTAAAGGTAAGTAGAACCCACCCCTGGTCATAAGTCACTTTTTTCAGTATCGTAACTTTGAAAGGTTACTAAATGAATTGTTGTAAGTCGACGACTGCCTGTATAGTATACCATAAAAGTAAAGCATGAAGGCGAAGAAATAGATTGCTTATTAAATGATTCAAAAATGAGCAGAAAGCAAGACACAGTGTATGATGTCCCATTGGCTGTTGAATACTGTATATTTTGGGGAAAATGTTTAAGGAATGTTTGTGGAGTTGTTGGTCATGCATCGGGTAAGGAAGTGGGTGGATGCTGCATGTTCTTTGACATGCAGATGGTCTTTGTGGTTAGTTGAGAATCCAAATAATTTACAAGGAACATTAGACATTATAATAAGAAGGATGGAACTGGAAATAAATGTAGCAAAGACCAAACTAGAATTGACATGGGAAAAGCACAACTTTAGCAACTACAATTATAAATAGTGGAAACTTAGATCCAGTGAATTTGTACTCCTTCATAAAATATTCATGAAAAAATGGGGGGAAATGGAAAAATCTAAGAAATGCAATCACTGGCAGTAATGAATATTTGTTTAAAAAATTTAAAAAGTAAAAAATGTTCTATATGCCGACGGGTTTCTATCATTTTGTTATATAGAACTAAGAAAGTTATGGATAATGGAACAAATAAGTTCCTGAAAAAAGAGAAGCAAGTTTAAAAGAACAAAATGAAATAAATCAATATATGGCAATGATAGAAGCAGAGATGGATTACTGGATAGAAATGTATAAAGAGGCATGGTGAATAATGTTGCCATAAATTAGTTTTAGGAGAATCAGTCTGGTGTAGTAGCTAGAGCACTGGGATGAGATTGGGAGATCATGAGTCCTATCCTGCCTTAAGTACAAACCTTGGAACAATCACTTTCTCTCAGCCCTAGGAAGGAGGCAATGGCCAATCACTTCTTAAATTTTGCCAAGAAATCTCCAGCAACTTGTTCTTGTAATTGCCAGGAATCAAGACTGACTCAAAGGCATGAGAAAGAAAAACAGTTTTAGCAAAGCATTATTTTTTTCTCTTTTCTCATCTGTTTAATTCCTTTGGTTCACTATTCCTTATTCCTGGCTCATTTTCTGTGCTTTATACTGTATAAAGTTTCTTACCACAAAAAAAGAAATAGCAGATGGATATGAATATATTTAGTATGTTATAGGTATTCTCACAAAATGGCTGCCATGAAAATGCTTGATCATAGTTAAAACAGTAAATGTAGCCAATCACCCATAACCTAGACCAGGATTGTCAAACTCAAGGCCCGCAGGCCAGATACAGCCTGCAGGGTGCTTAGATCTGGCCCACGGGGCCACCCTAGAAACAGCAAAGGAACAGCCCATGGTGCCTCTGCCAGCGAAAACAGAGCTCACAAGGGTCGTTCAGCCCTCCTGAGCTCCATTTTCACTCGCAGAGTCTTGCAGGAGGCCATCGCAGCTGAAAATGGAGCTCCGGAGCCCATTTTCACTGGCAGAGCGTTCAGGCCACCACAGGCACTCCTGACACATGTGTCATCGAGCTGGCCATGTCCCCCACACATCCCCAAGGTCAAACACAATCCTGATGCGGGCCTCAATGAAATCGAGTTTGACACCTCTGACCTAGACCATGCTAGTAAATTTATCCTTGTCAGCCCTAAGCTTCCAAGATATTTCGATCACTTCAGCCATAACCTCATTTCATTTTTGAAGAATGTCTGTGATATTATGGAAATTCCGAAGCCACCCTGGAAATAAACATGTAAGATGATGCTTTCTTTGATTGTAGGCTGGATTTATTTTAAAAATGTTAACATATTTTGTAAAAAAAAATCTTTTTAATGGGTATGAGCTCAGTCTTTAGATGTTCTCAAGGAAATAAGTCTCACTGTCCTGTAAAAATGTATCCATGTAAGACTGCAACTATACTATCAACAGTTCAATGTATTGTGGCAGTTTGAACCATGGAACTTACCCAGTGCCCCAATATTTTTCACTATTTTTTGCTATATATTTCACAATTCTATACTGGATATACTTGGAAGGCGACCTTCTTATATTTTGTTCTTGAGCTAAAATAATGTTTCTAAAATAAACACCTACCTTTTTGCTAAATAGCATGAGTTGCTATTGAATGGGGACTTACTTAGATTTAGATTTTCCAGTACTTTTGGACAACACGTTTTCTCCTTGAATGCATTAATTCAACTGTAATCAAAATTCTCTGTGGGAGCTATGGAACTAAACTATATTAAATACTACGACTTATAATTAATGGCAGCCAAATGGTAAATTACCTCAGGAAATTTCTTCTCGTGTAAATACTCAGTCACAGCAGGATCAAAATACTTTGCATAACCTTCATTAAGACTATAGATTTTTCCTTTCTTCTTGATTTTCACATCTTTTTCCACCAAAATGAATTCACCAAGACCCTACAAACAGATAAAATAAATAAAGGAGTTTATTTATATACTATTAATTCACATGCCATCTTAATGATGTATTACTGCAAATATTTCCCATTCCTTCAAGGAATCAGGTAAAATTCAACTTAATCCACTTTTAAAGGAATAAAAAGAATTGAAGTTAGTGATAACCAATTGTACAAAAAAAATCTCTACAGTTTTAAGTGTCTTTGCAAACAGTCATAAGCATCTTAGAGATTTTGTGGAAAGATTTCAGACCTGCACCAGGGTGAAATCTACTTACCTTCCCTACCAATTCGGAAGTATGTGCGTTGTCACGTTACGTCTGATTTTAGATCCTCTGCGCATGTGCAGAGGGTCAAAAACATGTTACCTTCTGGTTAAAACCAGGAAGTAACAACGTCCGGGCAGGTGGGCAGTGCCTCGTGCGGCCACCGCTACTGGTTCACTGAACCATGCGCTGCTGCCGCTACCAGTTTGCCTGAACTGGAGCGAACCAGTAGCGTTTCACCCCTGGCCTGCACTATTTACTTTGTTCTGTAGTAGAAGAGCCTATAGTCCATCAGCTGGAACCCAGGATTCAAAATAGTAGGATGGACCATTAAACGAAGAATTACGGATAAGGATATCCATAGGCACATTCATTAAAAAACCCAGTGTTGGAGTTCTCTTCCTCCAAGCATTATTTTTTAATAATGTAATAATTAGGAGGAAAGGCTTTTGAAATGTTGATAGTTCTGGGATTTAGAAGCCTTTGCCAATCTTCTGCAGGCATCCCAGAAGCTGACCATTAGATCTCCATCTTTTTATTACTGGTTCTGTGGGCGTGGCTTATTTTGTGGGTGTGGCTTGGTGGGGGTAATGTGACTGGGTGGGCGTGGCCAACTTTTATTTTTTTTACTTTTAAAAGCATTTTTTCAGCCAAAGAGGTTGTTGAAAAAATGCTTTTAAAAGAAAAAAAAAAGGCCTCTGATGTGGTGGGTGGGGTAAACGAGTGGCAACCTGGCCGGGGACCGGTTCGGGGGTGTGACCAGCCAATGTTATTACCGGTTCTCCGAACTACTACAAATTTTTATTACCAGTTCTTGTGAACCGGGAGCAACCCACCACTGATTCAAATAGTGATGTCCACATAGAGAGGGATCACCACTAGAAATGAAAGTGACTAAAGCAGTACAGACTCAAGCTAAAATTTCAGAGTACAGGTAGTCCTCAATTTACAACCACAATTGAGCCTAAAATTTATGTTGCTAAGTGAGAAATTTGTTAAGTCAGTTTTGCCCTATTTTACAACTTTTCTTGCCACTGTTGTTAAGTGAATCTGGTTTCCCCATTGTCTTTGCTTGTCAGAAGGTTACAAAAGGTGATCACACGAGCCCCCCCCACCCCCACCCCCACCCCCCACCGACACCACAACCATTATAAATGTGAGTCAGTGATCAAGCATCTGAATGTAAATCACATGACCATGGGAATGCTGCAATGGTCATAAGTGTGAAAAATGGTCATAAGTCACTTTTTTCAGTGCTGTTGTAACTTGGAATGGTCATTAAGTGAACTGTTGTAAGTCAAGGAGTACCTATAATCAATAAAGCTTTTTTAAGTTAAGTTAAACTAATGTGCTTCCAGTTTAGCATCAGCAGGAAACACTATACTAGCGAGAATTCTGGGTTTTTTTCCCTAGCAAAATTATGAAAAAATTAAAGAATAATTCAGTTTTCAGCACAATCTGGTTAACAATTAAAATCTGGCCATGTTTTTCATGCATGGATAAAACAGATTTCACATCCTAAATTCAGTTCAGTTTTCTCTTGCTTGTTGAAATATGTTTGATACCCTTTATCGGCTGCTATTGCCACACAATGTTTCCCAATGTTTTTAATGCTAGCTACAAAATAGTGTTGCTCATTCATTTGATGAAACTCCTCTTGGTTTCACTGCTTTAAACACTAAAGTGGCTTGCAGTGACTCTTCTATTCTGACTTTGGAGGGGGTCTTGTAAAAGCCACATTAGCTATTCTGTAGTTTTGAGGACCAGATCTAGAAATGCATTTCATGCCTCATCCAAATGATTTGTATATGCCAATTCATAAACAATCATTTTGCCACCATGGCGTTACAATGGTGTTGTACGGCCAAATACAGGCCCAGGAAGCATTGCTCTCATTCTGAATGGCCTCTATATTATACCACCACCACAGTTCCTGGAAAGGGAGATGGTTTTCATACGGAATATGAAACAGTAACCAAAACAGAACTATGCTTAGTATTGGACACATACCGGATCCAACATAAAGCAGTCCACTCCTTGACCCGTTGAAAGGGCAACCAGCGTTGCGCTGCCATACAGAGCATAGCCTGCAGCCACAATGTTGCGTCCAGGTTGTAAGGCATCCTTTTCAGAAGGCTCATCTTCAGAGGTCTAAAAGAAAAATTAGTGCACTATTAAACTAGTAACAATAGTATAGTATAGTATAGTATAGTATAGTATAGTATAGTATAGTATAGTATATACATATACATATACATATACATATACATATACATATACATATACATATACATATACATATACATATACATATACATATGTACCTATGCACTACTATTAATCTTCTCATCATTCCCACCACCCATCTCCTTCCATTTATGACTGTATGACTGTAATTTTGTTGCTTGTATCATTTGTACCCTATGACTATCATTAAGTGTTGTACCCTATGATTCTTGATGAACGTATCTTCTCTTTTATGTACACTGAGAGCATATGCACCAAGACAAATTCCTTGTGTGTTCAATCACACCTGGCCAATAAAAAATTCTATTCTATTCTATATACATACATATATATAAAGCATATATATCTATATATTTTGCTGTTTCAAAATTTAAATTGGAGGAAAACAAAGAAACTTAAAATGTATGGATAGGACATTCTCTTAATCATGGAACTACAGTGTGTCTGATATACTGAGACCAAAGAGGCTTTTCTATAAAATAATATTAAATTTAATATTAATATTAAATATTGAATTACAGATTACAGATACTTCCAAATTACAAATAAGAACATTAATGGTAAAGATGTACCAGCTACAAGTCATAAACTGAAGTAACTTGTCTGTGTCTGTCAATAATCAATCTTCAACAGCAGGACTCATCAAATGAAACACTGAGTACTTTAACATTGTCCCTTTACTTGTTCCAAATGTCGCTGTGAGACTCAACGCCTGTGTTAAATCTATTTGCAAATGGCTAATAATTACTATTAGCTCATGTTCTTAGGTAGTAACAGCTAGCCATCAATGGAAAATGTCAATTGAAACTAATCTTTTTAGGTCAAAGGTGCACAGCCTGGGAGTTAAAGTCTTACGTAGCCCACCAAAATGGGGATACACTGCTAGGGTTATCCCTAGCATTTTAAGATTGGTATCATAATAAAGTGTAGATAATAATATGCACAAATTCATATTCCACATTCACTCTGAAACAATTTCAGGCATTCAAAATAGCCTGAAGAACCCAACTGCAAAAGGTTAAAGAATAAGTGATCCTGGATGGTTATTTAAATATTATTCCAGAGAATTAGTTCAAAAGGCTTAGAAAAACAGGACTCTGCCCTAAATGGATCAGATAACTTTTAGGTGATTTGATCTTTTACTAGAAATGCTGGGTTACATTTCTCCACCAAAAGATTAGTACATATTCCTGGGATTTAAGGTTAAACTATATAATATATAAAATATCATGTAGATTGCTTTCTAGTTTTTATTTTCTTTAATGTATGGATAAAGGAAGAGCAATCTGGATTTTATATACACAGGTTGGAACATCCTAAATTTTTCCACTTCAGAGTCTGTTTTCCAAATTAGCATTGATTGTTTCAATACCAATCAATTATCTATAACAAGGGTGTCGAACTCATGTCATCATGGCTGTGTCATGTGATGTATCACGACTTGTTTCCCAGGTGTGGGCATGGCCAGCATGGGATACATCCGCCCCCCGGGCCGCAAGTTTGACAGCCCTGATCTATAGCCAGGCAGTACACTATACTGTTATTTCATTTATTCTGACCCACTCAGCTGAGATGCTCAATTGAGCAATTGAATATCTGATGGCAGTCATCAGACTGACCATTCATCCAACAACTTCCATATACAAATCAATAGAGCCAGATTAAGTTCCAGGAAGGATTACAACAAAAAAAACACCACTGTTTGTCATTTAAAGCATTTAAAGTTCAACACACTCAAATCAATTATTAATAAACAACAGCCCATACTGGTCACATCAGGACACACAATAAAGACAAAATAATATCCGAGCGAATTGGCTATCGTGGTTAAGGCATTAAACTAGAGACCAGGAGTTCTAGCCAGCTAGGTGACTTTGAGCCAATCATTGTCAGCCTTAGAAAACACGCAATAACAACTATTTCTTAATTCTTGCCAAGAAAACTGTGGGCTCATGTCCAGGCACTAATCACAAACCAATACTAACTCAGAGGTGTGCCCATACACACACACACACACAAAATCAGAACACTTCAACCTCCTAAGACATTCCATTAAAGATCTCAAACTGATATTTGGAAAAAGATAACAATTAACAGAATGAAGTTACATACATCAAAAGAATTGAGGCTATCTCAGAATGTCCCAACCAAAAATGGATTTTTACTTGCAATATTATTAATTGATGAGGTACTTATAATCTCTTTCACATATAACTTGCATCTATATGATTACCCTACAAAAGTGATGCCTTTTGCAGATACTATTAAAAGCAAGAAAGCATGGGAGACTCTGACTGCCATTTCCAGTTTGTTATTTTAGCTAATTTAGGGTCATATAAAGTACAACAGTATGATGTAACTCAATGATGAGAATATAGGACATCTAACATGTAGAAAGTAAGAGGATCAACCATCATACTTCCAGTTCACTTCTCTGAGAACGTAAAGAACTAATGTCAGCTACAGTAGATTTTATAGAGTTGATTGAACATATATTTGGATCTGACCCAGAGTAGTTCCCTAGGCCTGTTGCTTCACCAAAGAGTTCTTCAACCTGGAATCACACACAAATTCAACAACTTTGATGACAATCAACCTGGGGGGAAATTCTGTAAGGTGAATGCTATTTTTAGAAATCTATAAATGACAGTGATAAAATGAGATGTTACAAGGTATTTGTTCTTTGTTTTGGAATATTACTATTAACTATTCCATTTTTCTTTTCAGCGGCTTACCTTCTTGTAAATTGCAAATATTGTTCCTATTGAGGCTAAACAGTCTATATTGGAAGAGCCATCTAGTGGATCAAAGCACACCACATATTTACCCTGAAAGGGGAGAAACAAAAGCAGTCTTAAAACAGATATTAGCAGGTACAATATTGATGCACGGTTTAGCTAAAACTAATTTAGAAAGTTAGTTGTCCTGAGAAATCTGCTTTACGCAGAAGGACAGTCTAAACATGCATTTTCATATCAGAGGGATGATGAAAAATAGACTCTTATATGGTATAATACCAACTCCCTACAACCGATATTGTACTATATAATACTCTATGTTTATATAGTACAACTTGTACTGCATCCCCCCTCCTACACATACACAAAAATGTTGTGGTACAACAGTTCTTGTCTGGCTGGTGAATTGCAAGTCTGCTAAAGCTATCTTTCTTTTTTCTGCAGTTCTTCGACTGTGTTATCAAATATTATTTCAAGAAGCTTGGCAGCTTCCTGATCCATTTTTTCAGGCAAACTGGGAACAGCAATAGGCAGGGGTGAAATGCTCCTGGTTCGGACTGGATCACCTGATCTGGTAGCGATGGCGGACGGTGGTTCGGAGAACCGGTAGCAAAAATCCCTGCGCATGATCATCAGAGACTTTTTCTTTTTTTACTTTTAAAAGCATTTTTTCTACAACCTCTTCTGATGAAAAAAATGCTTTTAAAAGTAAAAAAAAAAAAGCCTCTGATGATTGCGTGGCTCAGCTGGGATCGTCAGAGACTTTTCAAAGCATTTTTTTCTGCAACTTCTTGGCCGAAGAGGTGGTAAAAATAATGCTTTGAAAAGTCTCTGACGATTGCAGCTGAGTTGCCTGATCATCAGAGAGACTTTTCAAAGCATTAGAAAAAATGCTTTGAAAAGTTAAAAAAGAAAAAAAGTTGGCCACGCCCACCCAGTCACATTACCCCCCCCTCCCCACCAAGCCATGCCCACAAAACTGGTAGTAACAAATTTTACATTTCAGCCCTGGCAATAGGGTATCAATGAAATCAGGTACCTGACTTTCCTCAATTAGATTATGTAAGTACTGGTAATGCAAAGCCGCCCTTGAATACAAGGTAATGTATTTATTTCTCTCCATTCTTTATTTTGGAAATTAAGTCAGATTTCTTTTAAGGCTGAACTAGAATCTCAGGGAAGAGATTCCATGTTTTTATTTATATTTATTGAGAACTTTCATATAAGATAAGTGAAAAGACAAACAAAAAGAAACAACCTGCTCCCCAAATCAGAAAAGTACAAGAAAAGGAAACTAAAATTAAGAAACACAAATTACTTCTGACCTTATTTTCAACAGGTAATTTACATTCTTATTCACCTCCACATTTAATCAACATCTTTTTAAAAAGCAATAAATTCATTTTTCTTCTTTCGACAAAAAGTGTTGAGATTTCATATTTTCAAATCTCCTGCTCCTCGTCCTCCAAGCAAATTGTGCACAAAATATGTGCAAAAGTAAATGTAACTGTCAGATAGGAAACCTATCCTGCAGGATTTTTTTTAAAAAAACCAGTTTCCATTCAATTGATGGAAAACTATTTTATTTCTCAATGTCTTTCCAAGTAAAATAATAGTTCACTGCATACTCGGTAAAATGTGGTGTTCATGAAATTGTAGGTAATCCAGTGCAAGTATCCTGCAGCCTGCCTATCATAAGTTCCAGAGGCTCAAGCATTTCCTCACACGTACCTAAATCCAGCAATCTTTGTTATTCCGTGTCCTCACAATGTCATTTTCCCTAGTCAATAATAGAGGCAGCCTCCAGTTATTCTTAGCTGTTCTGTTTTTAAAAGGAGTGTTTTTCCTCTTAGGGGTTTGTCACCAAGAAGAATAGGGTGGACTTATTCTCCAAAGCACCTGAGGGCAGAACAAGAAGTAACTGTGTGGAAGATCATTAAAGAGAGAAATAAGGAAAAATTTCCTGACAGTGAGAATAGTTAATCAGTGGAATGGCTTGCCTCCAGAAGTTGTGGCTGCTCCAGCACTGGAAGTTTTCAAGAAGTGATTGGACAGCTATGTGTCTGAAATAGTATAGGATCCTCTTCTTGAGCAGGTGGCTGGACTAAAAGACCTCCAAGGTTCCTTCCAACCCTATTATGTTCTATGTTCTTACTTGGCATGGCTTTTGTCATGGATTCAATCTGGCATGCTTCACTGACCATCTAGTTGCTGACACGGTCAGGTGACTCCAAGAGGTTGGGATCAGCTCAGATCATATTGGCAATTTAGTTTTGTGTTAGCATCCCTGCTCCCCCTGGTGTTTGGAAGCTGTCTTCCATTTTATTTCAATATGGGCATGAGAAAGTTTTTCTTTCAGACCAAGTTATCCCTCAGTTTAAGCAGTTCAGTCTTAATTCAATTTTGGAAGTTTGGAGGCAAGTGGAAGTGATATTCAGTTCTGGAATGGTGCAGAGGGAGCAATTCTGCCCCCAGGTATTTTCAATTATAGAGCATGTCTTTAAGGTTTCCTTTGGAGCCCCTTGGAAAAATTTCTTTTTCCTTCCGTGACTCAATTGTGCCCTCTGCTGCTTAATGAAGGAACATTCTCTTCCCACTTAATTAGACCGCATACTGACCCTTTTTTCTTTTGGAGTGATTAGTGCTTCTTTATTCTCTTCAGAGACCAGGACGCAAGTGCTGTAGGAGGACTGGAGCATGTTGATAACCAGAGAATTGGACAACACATCCAGTTTTTTCTGCTCGTCCCCAGTCACATTCACGCTTCCTGCAATTCCATACCTATGGAGGGAAAAAAGCCCACGAGGTTATTACTAACATGAAAAAAGGGTTAAGTCAGGGAAAAGCAAATGGATGCTCTTCATATTTTTGGACTGTACCTCTCATAGTCTTTTGCCATTGACCATACTGAAGAACGATATTGAAGGCCTTTTGGAAACCCTGAGGGCCTGAATGTGCTCCCAGGCATTTCCAGAGGTTAATTGGAGACCATATTCAGTTTATTGAATTTTTTTACCTCAACAATCATGAAATTATGCATATATAAGAGCAATGTGCTTTAAAGTATTGCAAACCGCTTCGTTAATAAACGAGTCTGCTTTTGTATCCTCCATGGTTTTTTTTAAGCATAATTTTATTGACATCTTCAGTGTTAAATGTCCAGAACTGTTTCTGTAAAAAGCCAATCATTGTAATGCTGTGATAGTCTGTTTCCATGGTCATCTCTGCTGGAAGTCAGCTATTCAAGGCACTAAATGAACCCAAGATGAAATGGGAGAGAACTTTCATCAGCTCTGGGAGCTCCTTTCTATTTCAGCCAAGCTTCTCCTCTACCACATCATCCTGCCAGCTGGCCTATTTTTTTTCCACACAAGTTTATCAATCTTCTGGAAGACTGGCAGACCTGAATTCCGAAATAGCGCAAGTGGGCAGGATGGAGCCTCTGTGCACTGACAACTTGTCACTTGGGCAACTTGAAATTGATTAAGGTCTCTAATCTAGGCACCATTTATTCTTGTCAGGTCTCACCCCACCATACATTAAAGGGGGGAAATGAAGCCAGGGCACTTCATCAATTGCTGCCCTTAAATTGTCACAGGAAATTGTAGCGACACTACAAGCCTCAGTAATAAGACAGAATAAAGCTTCATGGTCCTAGTAGAAGAATTTAGTGAACTATTTAACCAATGCTTAGACTGCCCCAATCATATATCTCCAGATGATTCACAGGAATCTCAAGATGCAATATCAGTAGAATAATAAATATAATAAAATAATTAGTGTCATATTTCTAGTGACTCAATGCACAGTAATGAGGTTATGAGGAGGAGCATTCTCTCTCTCTCTCTCTCTCCACTTAATTCCATCCTTTTGCAAGCAATGAAAGGATAAATGGCTGTTCCTTTCAAATAGGAAATGACAGAGGGCTGAATGGCTTAAGATCTTCAGAACCAAATATGGCCCTTCCCCATGACCAATCCTACTCCTTTTCTATTTTCTAGACAGCATTTCCAACTTTTATAAAAGACAGTCTCAAAGGTTTGCTATTTGATATAATCCTTCAAGATGAAAGTGTCTTTGTAACCTTGGAAGAAAAAATTCAAGAAAATCTGTTGCCCTGAGACATTGTGCTAGGAAGCAGAAGATTGCACCTTGGCAACTTATTATCTGATTAACTAATTCATGTTCATATGAAATTATAAAAATAGGCCATCGGGTTTCTGGAAGACAATCAAGACTTGGCCATGACATCAAACCTGTTAATGAAGACAATGCAATTTGCAATGGCACAATTCGGAATCCTCCTCAGAATGCAACTCCTATTACATTAGAAACAAGTTAGCTGGCCTGATCTTTAGGCTGACATGCTCATGGACCATTTTATTTGAAACTCTTAGTCACAGAAATAGCATAGAGGCAAATCGGATTATTCCTGGGTTAATATTACTGCTTTGGTTTGCTGAATTATATTACCAATATTAAAATGCATGCATACTACATGCTAGTATACTAACTGTCTACGTCTCAGATCCCATTATTAAATTTTGCTATATTCTGAAAGCTTTTGTTCTCTCCTTGAAATTATTATGTTAATAGAGTAGAGGTTTCAGATTTTGTTGGTGCCTTCTTTCTGTTTATATCAAACCCAAATCAATAATGAGAGGTTTCTATAACTCAGCATACATGTTAGCTGTTATAGGCGCTTTTCTTTCATTGCAGCCACGTGGAACTCTATCTCAATAATTTTGTTCAATGTATTATAAGAAATAGGCCTCCTTCACCAGATCTCATCCAAGACATTCTAATATAGATCCACTTCTCCCTTTTTCTATGCTACTCACATATGAGCAAGACCTGCCTTTCGGACTGCTGATGAGATGGCCTTGACGGCAGTGAGTGTTGAGTTCAAAAGCTGGGTCAATTCTCCCGTTGCCCCTTTCACCCGTCGTCCTTTCTCCATGACATATCGGTTCAGGGTTATCATATCTGTTTCAAAGGGGCTTTGATCCGACATGTTGGCTGGAAAGCAGGACGGGTTTTCTTGGTTAGAATCTAAGAGTTCTTCTCTTCCCCTCTTGATCCCTGCTGTTTGCGGGTAGTTTTATTTTAAGGAGAAGCAGCTGGTGGCACACCAAGCATGGATTAGTAAAAGATTCCTGATCCCATGTGACTTGAATGCTCGAAATAGACCTGCTGCACAATTCCTCTGGATCTTCAAAGCAGCAAGAGTGCAACTTCTACTCAGCTGAACAAATTACCCTTTTGGAATAAATGCACAATTAACTATAGGTAACTAATTGTGATTGAGTCACTGCTGAATATGATATGAAGAGAGAATTAATGAATGGCTCTAAATCCTGTCATTTGTGGGTCAAATAATCTCATAGAAGTCAACGATGTGAATAAGGTCATCTATGCAGCAAACTCTCAAGGAATTTACTACCAAACTCGGCAGTTGCATTCATCTGTGATGGAATGTGGGTTTGATTCAGGGAAGTAGAGGGAAAGCAATGTTGAGCCACTACAGAAAAGATATCTGAGTCCTGAGAAAGTAAAAAGCATGAGGAAGAAACTCAAAACAAGTCCATCTTGACTGGATTAGAAATAAATTGAAGTAGGGAGAGGCTTTAATGCACTTTGAAGATTTTGATACCATGCCCTAAGCTCCTTAAAGTACATTCCAGGGCTTCTGGTGACTCCTGCTTTGTGACCTTGCATACCTTGAAGGGCTGACTGTCCCTGACCTTTATTATCTGCTTTACTACAGGTTGGCAACTTCTTTGGTCTGAGAGCCACCCTTTTAAATATAGAAGAAAGAAAGGGATACTGTAGTCATCTTGCCCAATTCCAGGCAGAAGCTTGAGTTTGGCCAGGATGACATTTTGAGCAGCTGCCCCTTGTTCATCAAATAGCAAATGAGGAACTTTCTCAGAGTTTGGCTCAAAGGAGCTTCACATTTAGCTCCAAGAAAAACTGAAGATATGGTCCTGCCAAAAACAGCTAAAGAGCTTTATCAAGCCATGGTGTTAAGTAGAAAACATGTCTTCCTCCAGATGTTGTACCACTTTCACTCTAGACACAATTTGTAGACAGTTTGGCTAATGCAGAAGGATGATGGGAGTTGTAGTCCAGGGAATTAAGCCAAATATTCAAAGCCCAATTTAGCATTGTATATTTACCCAAATAGTATTGTAATTATGAAGAGGATTCCAGTTCCTGGGTTGGTTCCAATTTGGAGATATTTTGGAATGCCTAATTTCTACTCTAACACAGGAGTTTCTCTTTTCTAAATCTACCCAATTTTTGTTTATCAACATGCCTAGAACAGGGCTGGCCTTGCTTAGTCAGAAAAGAGATGTTGGATTCCACAAAAGCACAGAAAATTGGTATTTGGTTTCTTAGTACTGTATTTTCAATGCCAGGTATAGAGAGACATTTTTTTATTCTTCCACCTCTTGTTCTAAAATCACTTGGTTTACTTTGAGAAACACCTCATCTGAGGGGGACAGACAGGGGCAGATCATCTGCTGTTCCATCCCGGATCAAAATGTCACAGGCCAGTTTTCTCCTGGAAATCTTGAAATCTTGCATATTGTATTATGAATCTGAATTTTAAAACAGGATTGTTCAGCAGGTCAAATGGCAGACAAAGAAGCACCACTTAAGATGTTTACTTTCTTCCTATTTTCCTACTTAGAATTTTGCACTTTATTTTCTTCTTATAGAGATAAGGGTATTTGGAGAGGTTTGTCAAGAAATTTAATATGGTAGCCAGGGCCATATTGTCAAAATCACATCCTTGGTTACACGCATCGCACATACACCTATTGTAAAAAAATGGGGGGGGAGCTTCATCATCATAACTACCATCTTTATTTTTTCGATCCCATCCCTGTGGGCCCCCTAGATATGGCTATGACTTCCACTTACTCTTCTTCATGGTTATGATTGAGGTTTACAGATTAATGTGGATCCAAGTTTTCTATCTTCAAACACTTCATCACACAACAACCTTCTAGAATTTAATGGCACTGTTCCAGGACAAATGCAGCTTATTTTGCCCCACCAAGAATGATGGAGATGCATTAATAAAAATCTAGGGGTTTATCAAATTGAAATAGATAAGAGACAAAATTTTCTCTGCCTAAAGAAAACTGCCTGGCTAGAGACCTGAAGCGCAAGGAGAGGCTACAAGATTTGGACCACAAATATCCAGATGGCTACAACAGGATCTCAGCTGTAGCCATTGCTTTCTTATAGTCCAGGGTAAGATGGACTCATAGGTGTCTTTCAATTTTTATTGTGAGCAAGGTTGAATTTGGTGGTGCTTGAATGTTTCTCATGCTAATATAATGCCATTGAGGTTTTATCAATGTGAAAAAGCCCTGGAGACATGGTACAAAAAGGATGGATGGTTTCATCTGGAGCAACCAGATCTTGATAGCAAAAATTGAGCAGAGAGACACTTGGTACTTTCATCCAGTTTCATCTAGTCAATTTTTGCTACCGAGATCTGGTTGCTCTAGATGATACCATCCATCTTTTTTGTACCATGTCTCCAGGGCTTTTTCACATTGATAAAACCTCAGTGGCATTATACTACCGTGAGAAGCATCCAAGCAGCACCAAATTCAACCTTGCTCACAATAAAAATTGAAAGACACCTATGAGTCCATCTTACCATGGGCTATAAGGAAGCAATTTACTATTTTCTTCTGGGATGTTATTTTTCCAACTTCTCTGCCTAATCTAGTATGCAGAAATGTCTTGGGGCTTCCTATCCAAGTACTATTCAGGCAGAGCCATACTTCACTTCTCAGCACAACCGAGGCATGCTCCCATTATGTCCATAAAATAAATGGGATTGAAATTAGCTGTAACTAATTAAAAATCACTGTTTTTTCTGTGGGTTGATTCTGAATCCATTCTAGAATATACAACTCTGGTTTTGCCCATGCAAAATAATAAAGAGGGTACTTGCTTCAATGAATTCATATTTGCATTCATTTAGTACTGTAAAATGAAGAATCTTGTAGATTTTAATTATAGCTATAAATTATAAGGATGTTAATTCTACAATGGGGATTACATATACAGTACATATTTATCTTTGGCAACACACAGCAGCTCCCTCGCCAGAAGCAGAATTCTTCACAGTCCCATAAAGAGAAGACATCCACACCGTTTACATGAATTAAGAATTATATCAGATTAGTTCTTCTGCAGAATTGGTCAGGAATGTCTTTGAAGATGTTGGGAATCCAGAAGGTTCAGTGTTCAAGGAGAATCTGCCTCTCTAGTGTAAAAATAGTACAAGGGTAGCAAGGTCTGAACGGGGCGGCAAGACTTCGTTGCAATAAATCGCACAATTTGGTACTTTCTCTCACAGGAGGTATGTATCAACCCCTAAAGCTAATATATTTCATTGGGCTTTCAATCCCAGTGCATGAATGAATAATGGCACCTGTGTCTAATGAATTTGTTGAGGTTTTTATATTTTTCTTTAAGAGTTGGATTTCTATGTTTACAAATCCATCCACCCACCTTTTTTTAGGATTGGGGCAAGTTATAAAAATGATTAATTAAATCTTTATAGGGAAGATGATATAGCATAACTCTGCAGTCCCTTTGTCGGTGTTACTATTCTTTAATAAAAACAAATTTGCAGAAGTCTATGCCTTTCCCGTTGCAGGTAGTCCCATTGTGTTACTATCATTCAGAATGGCGCTTGAGTTCCATATCAAGATGTTTGCATGAGAGACTAAGCTAGAGTAGATCATGTGAACATTCACATGCCATGCTTAGCCATTAGACATAGGCTAGGCCAGATGCATCATTGGTCCATTCTCCAGAATAGTACGTTTACCATCCATCTATGATATATCAAGCATGTCATCCAAATGCAAGAATCATAGATTTCCCCATCTCCAGTTGTTGTTACTATGTTTGTTGAAATTTACTCATGCTTAAGCCCTCTGGTTTACGCCACTCATGCAGCAGCAAAATGCTGCTGCATGAAATGCAGCTAGCAAGAAGAGGAGGAGATTGTGATGAAGTGTATTTTCACTAACCAGTATTCATGGTTAAACTTGAAATATGAGTCCAAGCCAATGACTGGACACACATATCATAGAAGAGCCGTGGTGGCACAATAATTACAATGCAGTATTGCAGGCTGACTCTGCTCACTGCCAGGAGTTCGATCCTGACCAGGTGAAGTTTGACTCAGCCTTCTATCCTTCCAAGGACCCAGACTGTTAGGGGAATATGTTGACTCTGTAAACCGCTGTAAGTGCTGTAGCAATAGCACTTAGACTTATATATCTCTTCACAATGCTTTGCAGTTCTCTCTAAGTGGTTTACAGAGTGAACATATTACCCCCAACAATTTGGGTTCCTCATTTTACCAACCTCAGAAGGATGGAAGGTTGAGTCAACATTGAGCCGGTGAGATTCAAACTGTCAAACTGCTGCCAATTGACAGTCAGCAGAATTAGCCTGCAGTACTGCATTCTAACCACTGCACCACCACAACTCTGTAAAGCACTATGAAGCAGTATATAAATATAAGTGCTGAGTACTATATCTTTCTATTTGGTGAATAGATTTAATTGAATAAATCACAATTAGCATATATTACCATTTCCCCCGAAATAAGACATCCTCTGATAATAAGCCCAATCGGACTTTTGAGCGCATGGCAATAAGGCCAAGTGCTTATTTCAGGGTTCAAAAAAAATATAAGACAGGGTCTTATTTTCAGGGAAACATGGTAGTATATTTACATAAGAGACCAATCCAAAATCAAACTTGGTCTCAGATTTGCTGAAAACCTGCCCTTTATAATGTAATATATATTTGATACCTCTCTGTTCGAAGTCGCCCTTCTGTGTGCAATCATCTAGATTACAGTCAGGCTGATGGTGTTAAAGAAGAAAGTAATTCTCCGAGCATCATAGTTAATGTTTTACTATGACAGGAGTATGAAATATGAGTGAGCTATTTCCATTACCCAATGTCCAAAACAGTCTATATAAGACGATACTTTTTTCCAACTGTATTTAAATGTTAGTAGTTTAAGTTACCAAACCATCTGTAATGTAAGCCGTTGT